GTCGAAGAAAATAAATTTTAATAGAATTCGTGAACATGGTCTGGCTAGAAAAATAAGTAGCACGACAAGTGCTAGACTATGTAGTTTACAATGGTCTCGAAACAAAATTTCAACCTTGTTGAAGAGGTTTTCACGAGTATTAGCTTGGCGATCAACGTGTGAAGGGAGGATCCTGGTTTAGGACGTTGAAGATGTGGCATTTGTTTTATGAATTTTATAAACATAATGTATTAAGCGAATCTTTATGAAACTCACAAGATCTTTTACTGGACATTTGGTGGTAAGAAATAATATTTTCAAATAGAAAATTGTAGACCCTCGTTGTCGAAGTTACGTATTTGCGGGGATTGTAGAGTCTTCAATTTTTACCTCGACCAAAAAACTAAAGATTTTCTTGTTTAGTATATTAGAAAAGGCACAACGATTCTACTATTCATTAGTTTCCTCATATATATAAATATCTGAGTATTTCTATATTTACATGTTATTTATATTATATTTTCTCTTGCTATTAATTCTAAATTGCATTTGTACCTTAGTATGCACATAGTTGAAAAGAACTCGTTTAAAGAGAACCAAAATGTTGTACAATAAAATTCTCCTGTACACATGTTTCAGGGCCTTGATTTTGTTCAAAAAGATAAATAAGAAACGATTAACAATCTTTCCGAAGAAATATAGCAGATGGGGCACGTAATAAAAATCACTTCATAAATACTTAGTTCAGTAAAAATAAGTTCAGATAAGTGTTGTATAGTTCATTATGGTGATACGTCGTAATGAAAAATTAGCTTCCATTTAAAAAATTAGTAATGACCCTAAAATTTTTAAAAATACAAGAAATTGTAAAAAATCGAATACCGTACTATGAGTTTCTTCCGAACCATTCACCTAAATGCTATATCTAACAACAAGCTATAGAAGTGATTTCACTTACGTACCTCATTACGTACCACTGTACATTTAGTTTCAGCTGGGCAACCAATTAATTACTTTGATATGAATCGTTCATTTCTCTTTAAATTAACCTAAACATGTTATACCTTTTTATTTCTATTCCGTTACGATCAACTGTTCAAATGTTGGAGCTTTCTTTGACTTGAATCGACGATGATCACAATGATCCGTGATTTTCTTCGGAACGTGCAGCTAAACATGTTCCAGTCCAGATGTCACGAGTTCCGTCTTTCTTATCCTGCTTTTTTTTTCGAGATGCAACAACGGTACCAGCAATAATACTATCTCGTTAAATTGTCACAGCTCTAATTAAAGGAACAGGCTAGTAATTTCAGATAAAAATATAAGATTTTGTTTCCATTGTCTTTAAGATTCAAGTCGTAAAAGAATTATTCTGAAAAGATTATCATCATCGGCTTAGAATGTTAAACATTTCTATTTTGTAACTGACATTTTTCTTTTCTTTTTATTTTAAAGAAAAAAGGTCCAACAATTGAATATTTCTACTAAAACTACAGCCATTTCCTAAATTTATGAAATTTAGTTTATAAAAGTTTTCTTCACTCCATAGATAAACTAATTTAGAATAACAGTCTTATGAAGAATTCTTCATTGTTATTTGTCGAATTAATGGTTCAGCCACAATTATGTACACTATTGAGTTGTATTCTTTTTCGTTGTTATGTTTTTAGTTAAGAAAAACAACAATAAAACGTTGTTTCGGAAAAGCAATACATATCTACTAAAATTGCATTAGCAATCAACAGTCATTACGTGACTAAAAGTGTTCTATCTATTCCATATTTTTACAGTAGCTTTTAATTTTAAAAGAAAAATGTTTCTTATCTAATATTTCTCCTCAAACGTCAATTCTGTTATAGAATCATATCACGATAGATTTCCTTCAAAAATATCATTTCGTATTTACTATCACCAAGAGTAAAACTGTAAAAAGTGAGTATTTATTAGAATTTCCACGAAATGGGTAAAAAAAGGTGGACTTTTAATTAGCATACAATTATCACCACCTTCTTCATCGCTATTATCTTATTCACTTGAAATAATTTGTAATGGTAATACACGGCTCGTTTTACATATAATTTCACTATCAGTAGAGTCACTAAAATCACTATAGTTTCCTTCTGTCACAACCAACTGCAGATGACATATTTGATCTCATCTATCCTTAAATATTTCGTTGTCTCTATTGCTTTCCATTGTGATAACATATTAATAAATCTATGCAAAACAATCAAAGTAATTATGCAAACTGTAATGATGTTTCTTTCAACAACAAAACGTTTATGAAGGTTTTCCAACTCATTTATCGTACTCCACTAAAATGAAATCTAATTGCACTAGCACGAACCAAACTAATTTCTTGTTAATTACCATTTCATTCAGATATTTCTGAAAAAGGTGACGAGCATTCTCATTTTTCCTACATTTTCTTATAATCAGTCACTCACTCAAACCATCGCAAAACAACGCGGAATTCGATTCTACAGGGTAACGATCTATTAATAGATTAAATATATAGATTACACAAAGTATATGTCTATCAATTTTCATTCTGATCTGATTATTTCTTCATGAAACGAACGAATGATAAAAAAAATTAAAACCTTTCGAATAATGTTGTTCGTGCATGATCGACGCCTATGAACGCTTGATAGATCTACTCAATAAATACAAGTTCAGGATTTTTTAATCGCTATCGTCCGTACAAGAACCAAATACCTTTAATTGAACAAAAAATGGTGAACGTTTGAATTTTTTTCAACACTTTTCTTGAACTTTAATCATTTAAGAATATAGTTAAATACTAATGAATAATTTTAATTTTAGTATGGACGATAACTACAATATTTTAATAATCTGTTTGATTTTTTGGTTTCGGATGATCCAATATCAAGTTATCATGTCAACGATAGAAGAAAGAGAATAAATTTCATGTGTCTATTATTAATAACAAAAATGATTAAAATTAAAGAAACAAAATTGCATTTATTAATTTAACGTGTCTACCTTTATATATAAAAACGTTGATATTCCACAATTATATGTTATGTGAAATAAAAATTCTTAAACAAACTTTTTTTTGCGACCATATAGTAACATTACTTTAAAATGCAATTAATCTAACGCATACACACGCGCTTGCTTGTTGGTTCTTTTTAATCACATTTCAGCAGACTTGATGGTTTTTTTATTTTAATTCTTCATTACCATATAGTCGTGCTTTATTTTAACCCGGCTTGTCCAGTGTATCAGTCAAGGCAAGGTACTCATTAATATAACCGGTTTCAAAGCACATGAATAGGCGAGTTACTCTTCTGCCGGGTGTGAACAATATTTCTGTTATTTGACGTTTAGAGAAGAATCGTTAGTGATTTACAATCAATTTTCTAACACTGAATACGAAACTAATTTTAATTTTGTTCTAACTTTCAGGTTAGCATGATCAAATTACTAATTTCAGAAACAATATTATTTGCTTTGTGAAATTGCTACTTTAGTACTCAAGTTTCATTTGCAGATACTTTCCAGGAACTTTACATGAAGAATATTAAAATATGGTGCAATCGATAGAACGAATTCAAGAATTCAAAATGGTAAAATTCTGTTAAATAAGTTTACTGAATGTTTAATTTAAAAAAAAAAAAACTGTAAATTACTACGTGTATATAATACAACAAATTCTTAAATTTCGAATAACGAATACAAAATAAATTATTAAAAATTAAACTTTGGGTTTTTTAAACACAACGAATAAGTAGAAATTTAATGATTTCAATTATTTCTTGGCGTAGATAAAGTATTAAACATGAATGTAAATACAAGTATGTGGTTAATGTGTATTCTAGTTCATTCCTCACAGGAAAGTCTTTCGTCATAATATTGAAGATCTTAACTGTTCTTTCTTTTGCCAAAATAGGTCAGAAAAACTGTTCAGTCGAAACGTTGAATAAAAATGAACAACATGCTTAGATTGCCACCATTGTTTCATATTTTTAATTACTTCATTATTACATATGTTATCTATTATTCGAATAAAATATCATCCAATATCTTATAACACAAAAAATATGATATTTCCAAAGTAAATTCTCATCCCTCTTATTCCTGAAATTAGCCGTTTGATAATAATAATCAGTAGGTTAGAATAAAATAGGAAATCGTCCGATAACAGAGAAGAGCCGTTTAGTCTCTAAGAGTAACTTGACTATTTCTGTGGTTTGGAACCGGTTATTAACAAGTATCTTGCCTTGACTGTGATATACTAGACGCCAGGATTAAGACAAAACTCTGTCATTTCAATGTAGCGTCAAATGTTAAAGAATCAAGAAATTTTCAAAAATTTGTCCGAAAAAAAACAATAATCTGAGCGTGTTAGATTCTTCGTCGTAGGCGGTAATTAGTATATGAAGATTTAAACGTATCACATTGAAACATCTTAACACTTTACCTACCGTGCTATTTAGAAACAGTCTTTAATTCAAAAAAGAATTTTCTACAGTAGCATAAGCCAATCTAGCCTGACAATAATGTCTCCATACTATTACTACATAGGTACATTGAAAGCAAAGTCTGTTTCCAAACACTGAACATTGTAAGTAGACACCCATCAACACGGTAAATAAATTCGAATAGTTAAATACTGCAATCAAAACGCCTACAAATAGGCTCCCGGTAAATAAAGTGTTAATAAAGAAATAATTAAAATATTTCTTTGATAAATTCAGAAGTCCTCCTCCCGTTTCTTTACATCTACACCACGTGCTTCCATCAGACGCATTCATCGTCATGTTGAAGGTCCTGCATCTATTGGCGCACGAACACATAGTAAGAAAATCTGTGTTCTAACTGGTTTTCAGAATCAACCACGTTATAATATCATACAATCAACCGAGCTTAAGCCAGATGTATATCCTCACTGAGATCGGAGGAGGTTCTTTCGTAGCTCCGCTGCTTATAATCTCGTTACTGTTAAGTTTGAACGACGAGAATATCCCTTCGCGACCACCCTCGTGCTTTGAAATTTAACGGTGCACACGATTGGAACTAAATCGAAGAAAATTTATCCCACGAACGGATACCACGGGCTCGTTTCTTGGTAAACTCTTATGGTTTTTGTTCAGAAGCAATAATGTGGTGCAAAAAGTATCTCCAAATTTCACGACGATTATCAAGAAACACGTTTAGAGATTTCCACGTTACAAACAACTCTTGTTCTTGGGACTCCAAGGAAAGCGTAAACAACGGATCGAATGGTATCAAGCGAATGCCAAGGATACTTATTACCGGTATGTAACTCTTAACGAATCAATTACGATATGTATTGCAAAACCAGTTTCACATTTGTCATGTTTCATCATTATTACTTTAATACAAGGAAAGTTCGTTGTAAATAAGTTTGAAATTTACGTAAAGTTACGCTATTCGTTGTTTACCTATTCTAGGTAAAACGAGAATGAATAACATTCCTAACGATGATTCTTCAACGATGAAAAATGCAAAAACAACATTTCTGTTATTTCTTTTTTTCTTTAAATTATCATTGACGATACGATACATCGGTTGCATCGTGTTTTGTATTACATCGACTTTTTTCATATGCATTCTTGCAAGGTGGTCTCGGACAGTTGGGTACCGAGTGCGCGAAATTGCTACGTAAAAATTACGGAAACGACAACGTGATTCTGTCCGACATAATCAAGCCGACTGTAGAAAGTCCGTCGAATGGGCCGTTTATCTTTGCCGATATCCTTGACTTTAAAGGTCTTCAAAAAATCGTGGTAGACTACGGAATCGACTGGCTGATTCATTTCAGCGCACTTCTCAGCGCTGTAGGTGAACAAAACGTTCCTCTTGCCGTGAGAGTCAACATTGAAGGTAAGATGACTTGTTCGTTCTTTAATGAATTGTTTAAAAACGAACGTTTCTAGGAGCGCTTCGTTGCTTTTCGAGAGTGTGCTCGAGTGAAATGGAATGCCGTGCCAAGTGAATTTGTCGTTACGATAATAATTATATTGTTACCGCCGGACACGAAGGAAAGCACGTCGGAGAAAGTGGATGATCTCTTAGCTGTCTTTAGTGGAATATAATCTCGTTTAAAAGGGGTTCCTGACTTTTTGGGTCAAAAATAAGCAATATTTGTGATTTCTTTTTCTCGTGAAGTATTAGGCCCAAATTATCTACGATACATATTTTTGTAATTGGAGAACATAGAAACTTACTAATTTATAAACCAACTAATATATGTTTATAGGCATATAATAAAACGAAAGTGCTCGGTGCTGAAAAAGAATAGCGTCGAGGATCATTCAAAATACAAAATTTAAGAAGATCCTTATTCCATATGAGTCCGCCCATGACCGGTAATAGGATTATTAAAAAATATGAAAGATTTTTAAAAACATGGCCTTTACAAGAAAAATCCTTCCATTCAGCCTAAAATTTGACGAAACTTTTTGTAGTTATGAAAAAACAGTAATAGATGCGACAATAATTCTAGAACTGGCCATAGAGAGATATTTTTGGGACATGCTCACCAAACTTGATGTAAATTGCTTCATTTTAGAGATTTCTCCAACATCGACTCAAAAATTGTTGTTTTGAGAAAAACGGCTTCAAAGTTTTACGTGCATTTCGTAGCATATTCTGAACGACATTTTACAATTTTTGGTTAATCAGCTATTCTAGGACTTTGAAATAAGCCATGCATTTTCTCATACAAGTCCTCAATGTTGATACGATCTAGTCTTTTAACGGTTTTAGCTTCTTTTGCGAATAACACCTCACTTCTAAGTTAAGTTCTACACTCCTAACTATCATAATTGAATAATAAAGCAGTAATAACTATAAAAAGATGCAATTTCCTTTCTTTCTACAGAATTGAAAGTAACTTCACCAATCGTATACGTGTATTGTTCTTCTTACTGACAAAAATCTTACAATTCATTCCAATTGTAACTTCAGTGCTTTAAAATATTTAGAATTAACAAAAATTCGTTGTTAAATTTCCAACTTGCCAAAAAAGGCAATTTTAATGGTTCAATTCATAGACTTGCAGGAGACAAAACGATCTCTACAGATCATTTTCAGATATTTTTAATGAAATTTGAACTGTGCATTCTTAAAGGTACATAAGGTACAGCTTTCATAAAATTGAAACAAAAAGTTGATTGTTTTTACCCAACAAGGCAGAAACCTCCCTTGAAAGAGGAAGCCAACCTGGACGCTTAGAAATCAAATATGTATATAATAATTCATCATATATTTAACATACATTAACAATTTCTTTTTATGAAAACAATTAACTTGATAGGTGATCTGTTTGCTGGAGTTTATTTTTATTTAGATTTTTCTAATAAAATGAACATACTCCAGCCATTACACAACTAGTCTCTTTCGAATGACTCCCTAATCGACTTACCGAGGTTTTCAGGTGTCGTAAGACCTCAAATTAAAAAAAAACAAGTATTTTGATTTTCTACGTGATATATACTACGGAAGTACATATGAATTTTTCAAAATATCAATTTTTGTAAGAATGGTGAACATTTAAAAGAAAATCTTGTTTTTAATAGGAAAATACATTCGTTCAAAGCACCCTCCCCCCTACCCTTAACGTAGAACAGAATGTGTCACCCTACAAAGTAATTATTGCTAATAATTATTTTAAGAATTAATTTCTTATCACTTGTCAGGAATGCACAATGTCATTGAACTGGCGAAACAGTACAAATTAAGGATATTCATTCCATCGACGATCGGAGCGTTTGGTCCGGATTCGCCGAGGAATCCCACGCCAAATATTACCATTCAACGACCACGAACGATCTATGGTGTCAGCAAAGTTCATGCCGAGCTCTTAGGCGAATATTATCATCACAGATTCGGACTGGATTTCCGTTGTCTTCGATTTCCGGGAGTCATCAGCAGTGATCCACCAGGCGGTGGTACCACAGGTACTTAACCCCTGACTTACCGTTTCTCATTGTACAATTTGAATAAGTAAGGACATAAGGAATGCCACGAGTTAATTACTGCATACACGGTCTGTCTAAAAAGAACCGAACTTTTGCTATAAAAAGAAAAAAGTACAAGTAAAGTTTTTACACACACGTTTAGTTATTCAAAATAGTCTCCCTCTGCGTCAATACAGCGTGTATACCGCGTAATTAATATTTCAAAGTATTATTAACATATTTGAACGAAAAAAAAACACAATTTTACACGATTTTTTCATTTAAATCGCTTTTTTCTCAAGTTCCTGAAATGCTAGACAAATTTCGCGGTCAGATTTGAATTCGGCATGTCAAAATCTATAAGAAATTATGTGTGGCAAGTTATAAAAAAATTTAGATCTAGGAGCTGAACTAGATTTTGGTGAAAAAGTGGAAGTTCAACCTAAAAAATTTTGAAGTTCCAACATTGTCCGCATCACTTTCTCTACATTTTTCTCTTAATCTGTGAAGTTTCAGCTTTAATTTCATCCAAGGATCATTGCTCTATCTCATCTCATCAGATTTGGTCGATTTCGCCAACTGTGCGCCGTACTAAACGGGGAACCAAAACAAGAGCTGCAAAGATCCTTCGAAATGTTAATTACGCGGTCTACACGCTGTATTGGCGCAGAGAGAAATTATCTTGAGTAAATAAACGTATGTGTAAAAACTTTACTTGTACTTTTTTCTTTTTATAGCAAAAGTTCGGTTTCTTTTTAGACAGACCGTGCACATACATTTCCTTTTTTCTGGATCTTCAACGGGCAGTATTTTATAATAAATGTAGCCACATGCGCCAAGAAATAGAGCACATTCTAATCATTATTAGGGTAACTGCATAATGGTGCAATCCATCGTTTCTCAAGGACAATAGTATTAGTAAATTGTTGAGTGTCTCTTGGTCATGAGCCGTGAGATCGTTCCTTGCGTTTCCCTTATCTCCTGATGCGTAAACTCGAGAGTAACTGCGTAGACGAATCGCAAATGAAACTGTGATCTGCGGTAAAACATTTGTCCCGAATCGTTATCAGAAAATAATAAAATAACACGTGTAACTACGTATATTCGTCTTTTCTTTTTCAGATTACGCTGTTGCAGTCTTTCACGAAGGTTTACTTAATAATACATACGAGTGTTACTTAGAACCTTACACAAGACTGCCGATGATGTACATAGAGGATTGCCTGTCAGCGCTCTTTCAGTTCTTGAACACTCCAAATGAACAGTTACAAAGGCGTGTTTATAACGTCACTGCAATGAGCTTCACACCCGAAGAACTATTCGACGAACTGAAGAAACACATTCCCGAATTAAAGATTACGTATAAACCGGATGGACGACAATACATTGGTTGGTTATTAATCAACATTTCAAAAACCATTCAAAACTGTATCGTCATTGATATATATTTTAAGTTATAGAAGCATTTTCTCACAAAAATACGTAATAGTTTTAAGACAGATATAGATATAACGGAATTTCAATGTTTTACGATAAAAATTCTAGCTGAAAGTTGGCCACAAGTATTCGATGACAGCGAGGCGCGACGAGACTGGGGATGGAAACACAAATACAACTTGGAGAGACTTGTGGAGTCAATGATACGCGACGTAAGGGCAAACTTCTTATCCAGAAGATCATTAAAGGAGGTCAACAGTTACGTATAACGCAACGTCGCTTAGGAAATAATTAACATGAATTAGACAAGTTAAAAAAATATTATTTATTTTATAATAAAAATACAAGTGACAAATTTTCGATGAACTTTGTACATTTTATTTGCTCTCACATATCTTCACTCATTAATTCGGCGATATCCTCCGCGTTGAGATAATTATCATTGTTTATTCTTTTTGGTACAGCTTTAACTGCTCTTATTGGAGTCATATTTGTTTTATCTATTCTTCTGGATGGTGTACTACTTTTACCTATGTATCTTGAGGGGGTACCAATCGATCTATCGTTATATCTTGAAGGTGTATCAGTGTTTCTTTCACTTCTTGTAGGTGTATGACTTACTTTCTCACTCAATCTTCCACTTTGTGACAATTTATCGGTGTTTTCAGACTCTGTGTAAAAGAAAAAAGATAAAATTGATTAGTTAAAACATTATTAGGTAAATCATTATATATTTTAAATATAAAAAACTGAGCTGTCTTCACCTGTACCAGTATCTTTAGCCAAAATAGCTCGGCTCTCTACAAAATATATATTCGGGTGAATAATAGGCTTATCCGGCAAGCGATTATGTAAAACCTCGAAATATGTTGCACAAGCAATATGGTAATGGCCATCCTTGGCTAAATCTGCTATATCATTAATATCTAAAACGCATAAACCGGTAAGAATCAATGTTGACACTTTATATACAAGCTAGTATATAAATTACATTACTTTTTACCGGTACACCATAACTAGATAATTTTTGTTTTAATGACTCAGAATCCATATGCCGATATGGACAGCCATGATATTCTCCAGGGCCCACAGAAGAACTTATAATTTTTGGACATCCAAGAGGAGTGTAATTTGTCTGTTTTCCTTCTTTGCCATAAATATGCCTTATACTATAAGCATATTGTTTATCGAATTTGTCTGGATCAATCTTTTTCGTGAACTCCATTTTCCAGAAGCGCAATGCATCTTCTAATGTTACTCCTATACCTTTTATGAATAAACCATATTGAATACGTGCACTATTTTTGAGATGATGCTGAGTCCTAAGCCCTTCGTGTAACGTTCTCATACACAAAGGATAGGAGGTTTTTGACAACTAAAAATAAAACAATGCTAAACGAAAGTAAGGAATATGGAAAATAAATTAATTACCTCATCCAATTTTTCTACAGGTGTGGTGGTAGTCGTCCAAACAACACGTGTCATGCCAGAGAAAGCACCAGGTAATGATTTGACATAAGACATTAATCTCTCATCATCGGATATATTTGAAACATACTTTTTTGCATACTGTATAGTAAAAATATATCCGATTGTAGTAGAATTTAAAGGCTTTTTATGCAATTAATATAAGAATACGATACAACTTACCTCCATACCATCGATTAAATTTTTTCTGAAATAAGTAACAAACAGAGACACTAAATTTTCTTGAGAAATGTATGCTTTTCCTAGAGAAAGATAAACTTTACGCGATTTAACCAGGTCAGCAACTTTTTGAAAAGGCACTTTATAAAATTCTATCAGATCAATATTTGAAGATTTTGGATTGCACGAACTAAGTTCTTCCCAAATCTGAAGTTTTTCTTCTTGTGTAATCTATAAAAAGATATTAGAAGTAAGAATAACTGCAGACTGATAGAATGGCTGGTCAATTGGTACTTTATCTTATTAATGTCGCTTACTTGTTGACATTCGATGTTATGCATACTAAGTAATTTCTCTATTCCTTCTTTGTCTAATGAATCAAATCTTAATTTAAATAGTTCTACTTCTTGTTTAACAAACCACATTGATCGTTCTGGATTTTGACAATATGATAATCTCATTATAAAATGTGATAAGTGATCCTTCTTCCTACATTGTAAATCCATTTCTGTAGAAGAGTTACATCCCCTTGCAAGTAAGAGATGTACAAAATATTTAAGTCCATCTTTTGCTAGAACTGTACATAGTTCATCTTTACGATCCTTTAATTTCTTTAAATCTGTTCGTACAGCATTGTTTTCAATATGTTGTAAAACTACAAAGGATTAAATATTCATACATCCAAGTTCATTTGTGATAATGTTCATGAATGAGTTCTCTTATACAAATTAAATACGTAAAAAAGTGACTGTTGAATTGATCATCAGGCGATAACTTACGTTTTAATCTATCTATGCCCAACTGTTGGAACTCCACGAATGGAATTTCACCTTTCGGAGGGAAATCATACATCTGTAAATCATGTTGATAAATATCTTGAAGGCTATTAGTTTCAACATGAACTGTATACCGCCGTCGTTTTGTATATTCCATTCTTTAAAAAATTAAGATGTCATAATCATTAACAATTACAATAAACACATTGTCATCACTGTTTTGATATATCAGTCTTTCAAAGTTATTTATAACGAAAAATGAAATGATAAAATTATCATATTTATCGAGATAACCAGAATATTTACAAGTACTTATTAAACACTGTTTTACTTTCTGAAACTAACAAATCTAAATATTTGTCAGATTTCAAACACTTACTTTTGTTTAGATAATCTTAATCGGCCATTACTGTATCACTGAGTTTGCCGCGCTTTTTTCCCGCTATTATTTGAAAATATCATTGATACAAAAGAAAATACACAAAATGTAGGTACGTAATAAATAAGTACAAAAAGGTACAAAGTATAAATGTACACATTTATTCACAATTACTATTTGTTCAAAAATAACTTTCACAATAGAAACGAACACGAACGCTTACAAACTGGTGTGAGGTTATGAACGGACGAAGTATCGCGTATAACGAAATCATTATAATTTCGGCTTTCTGTGTGCCTGCTTCACGCGAATATTTTTTAATTGCATAGGAGGTAAATGACCATCCGCGCAATCGAAATTTTGAACAAAAAGTTCCTTGACTTCGAGATTGAAAAATTCCATTCTATTTTTTATCGGTGAAATATCTCGAAATTCACCGATTGTAATGTCGGTTCTGTCGATAATTTGTTTGTCGAATAAATTGGCGTGTTTAGGATACATCGAGTCTCCTGGCAAAACATGCACTTTTCCATCTTTTAACTCTACCTTTACCTAATTACATAAGTACATTTAATTAAAACCACTCAAAAGTTGATTTTTAGAACGAATTTGTTAAATCTTGCTTACGTACTGGCAGGTTCAAACGTACACCTATTTTACTTCGATCAATTGCAAAATCTAGCAAATTGTCTATGCTCTCGAATTTCGCTATCCTTGCAATTTCATACTGTTGCGGAGGTGGTAATACTATACCCGAAGAAGAAAATAGAAAATCTCCTGGTGCATTCCACTGTAATACACGATACATACAAATCACTTATTAAATTAATGCGTTAAATACAGCCTTACTTGCAAATCTTCCATTTCCGTAAGTTCGTATATAGCGCGAGGTATAGTGGGTATACAAGTCAAATAAAAAACAGCATCGTAACGTCTTCCGGGAAAATAAGTCGGCGTTAACCAGTTGCTCCATTCATAAAGAGACCACAGGTCTGGATAGCATCTAAAATTTTCGCACAACGAATAAAATTCTGTGGCATCGTTGTGCACCTTTTCTTGCCAACTGTGTAATTCATTTTCGGAAACTAAATAATGGAAACAGTTTCATTTTAATGGTTTCATTATTGCGTCTAAAATACATACAGGGTGACCCAAAAATGTTGCAACACTCTGATTGGTCGACGTTTTCTGTTAATATCTCCTTATCGAAGCCTCGGACAACATTTTCGCTAAGGAAAAAGTTGTTCCAAATCGCCTCTCGAATCACCTCTTTCAAGGTGTTACAACATTTTTGGGACACCCTGTATATTGTTATTATTGTCAACAGCCATTCGAACTGTTACAAAATTCGAATTTGTGAATCGCATTACTTTCAATGTGCTGCGACCATTCAGAATGTTTATGGTCTTCTCGCGAATTCTTGCATATTAATATACCGCATTCTTCGAAGGTTTCGCGAATGGCAGTAATTCGTAACGATACTTCTCGTGGTAATTCGTTTGGTCTTGGTTTAAATATTCGAGGCCGTACAGCAGTGTTTGGAGCTAAAGATGCGAAACTGTTGTTGTCGAAGCCAAATGTGTGGAAAAGATTGTGCCACTTTAAATCTGCGTCGGATGGATCCACTACTCCTCCAGGAAACACATATGTACTCGGCATAAAATTTGAATTATGATGTCGTTTTAGGCACAGTAAGTTATAGTTATACTGAAACTACATAATATTGTCTAAATCGTTTTTCCATTAAGTGATATTTAAATTTTCGCGCGCTCTTACGAATAGATACAGTGAGTGTCAATGTCAATGTTGCAAATAACAGCTATTTTTTACACTTGGTTATAATATCTATTTATTTCTATTCCTATGTTTCTATTTCTAAGTTGTAAACATCTAGCAAAAAAGAAACAATGAATTTTAATACTTACGTTTATGGGCGACGATGGACGAATACATTTCTCCATATTACGAGCTGCTAGGATTAAACTAGCCGATTCTTTGAAAGCTTTCATTGTTAACAAAATTGTTCTTTGTTAATAAAGACACTTGTGATTTTACGGATATATTTAAAAAATTTACAACTGATTTTATACAAAGAGTAAGCGTTTAGGTTATGGCTCCATGAGTTGATTTTGTAGTGCGAATAAATTTAATAGAGATGTGGGTACATGATATGAATAAACCAAAACAGTGTTATATAAACGATTATCGATACTGCCAAATTTGACATATATCGATACTGCCAATTTGACATATATCGATAATTGTTTTGAGAGGGTTTTCAAAATTGTTTTATTTTAAATCTACTATACCACTGTTTCTTTTCATGTCTTCAAATTCAAATGTATGAATGTTATAATTTCTTCAAAAAATTAATATATTTATACATCTTTAATGAATATCCACTGAACACAAAGTTCTACATTTATTACAGTATTAAGTACATATGCATGTCAATATGTTTGATAAGTATATACAATTTCATCGAACATTGTCTTTGAACATCTATATTGTAACATTCTGTTGATTGAATGGTTATGTACATGAAATGTCGATTGAAGGTTATGTACATGAAATGTAGACATCATGAAATGTCGATTGAAAGTTATGTACATGAAAGCAATTACTATTACATTTATAAAGTATGCAAATAGTACACATCTATAATATTCAATGTAATATACTTCATTAAGTATACAACATAGGAAGCTTTAATATCTCATGACGACTAGATTATACTTATTTTATATTTTTCTCTGTCTTGTTAGTTGCTGCATTCATTAGCTCATACAATTGAATTACTTGTTCATCTCTAAATTTGTCAATATCCTCCTGCGTTAAATTTTGACCTAATGGTTTGGCAGTGTGCGGTCCTTTTAATCCAAGCTGCTTAGCAAGCGTTACAGCATAGTCCTACAATCAGAAAGTAATCTTCAATAATTTAGCTTAAAAATGATCATTTTTAGATATACGAAAGGAATTAGTATTACAAATCCTATTACTTGACATTTGTCATAAAAGAAGCTAATGGAAGATAACCTAACTTTTTTAAGAGACCATTCGAATGTAATGTTGAATGTTACTCACTGTCCATTCATTTAAAAAGATAATTGTCTCAACGTCGTTGCATGTTTTGTGCCTCCTAAATTCATCTCGAACATAACTGGTTCCTAAAGATTGAATTTCAGTTGGTAAACCGCGATGTAACCTTAAAATTGTTTTGTACAGCATTCGAACACGTTGCACGTGAGATAAATTTGTCATAATTTCTTTATTAAAAAGATACTATGTATACATACTAACACACGATTTGCACTTGATATTTCTATAATAATTTAATATCAAAGAAACTGTAGTAGACGAAGATTAAATGGAATCTCGCGCCAAATATAAACACATGTTAGTTCTTTAGGTGCAGTGCATATATCCATGTACATATGTAGTTTATCCATATACATATGACATAAGTCGAACGTCTAGATCGAAAATTAATATATTTATATATTGTGGGATGATATTATTTTGAAATTAAGCAATTTATTCCTCTCAATATGTGGAAAGGCAAACATCCTTTTTCCTAGCATAGATCATTGATCTATGTTCAAATTCAAATGACGCAGGCGCATTATCGACGTCGTGGCATTCGATCAATTCGAAAAGAATTTTCATAGAATATATATTGGTAAAATCTTTAATTTATTAGAACAAACAAATAACATGTATACGTATTTCTATTGTATTTTGGTTACATTGCCATTGGATGTAAGCTTCATATATAATTTAATAGTTGGTCAGTCAAGATCAAATGGGAGAAGATTAAATTGAACCTTTGTTTTTACTTCGTTCTGTGTAATAATTTACAATTAAATTTTCAATTTAACACAGTATCGTCAAGTTACGCATTAATATTTGAGGAACGGTAGCGTTGTTGAGCATAAATTCATAGAAGCGTATAGAAGTCCTTATAAATACATTTTAAGTACTTTAACATATTATACAGTTACATACTAATTTCGCTAAATTAAAAATTTTGATTCACTCAGCTCGAGAAAAATCTCTACTAAAATTATTGTCGCAATAAATGTTATTTTCAACGTATTAATTGTCTTCGGGACACCTGGCATCTTGAATTTCCTACAAATTAAAATAAAATTAGTTGCAATGCTGTCCCATTATTTTTTTTTAAAACTTGTAGGAAGAAAGAATAGTAACAAACTTACTCGGTTTCTTTTCTCTCCATATTTGGACCAGAAAGTGACTTTACAGGAGGTCCTCTGTCCAGTTTGTTTATTGAAAACCGAACACGACTCGAACGGTGGCGAGTATAAATGCAACGAAACTGCAGGATTCATGGCGCTTGGATTTTCAACTCGATGAAGTCCCATGGAGTCTATGAAAAAATATCTTTATGTTAAATTATAACGAAACGTGCAACCTTTTTGCTCATTTTCAGGGAAACTGTACCATTGATGTAACATATTTCATTTAGGCCAAGAGTATTTCTCTCCAATTCTTTTAGTTCTTCCGGTTCATCGGTTTCTTTATCATTCTTGCATTTCGTAGGCCACGCGTATCTGGTCTGTGGAAAGATAGTATTTTAGAAAAATATTCAGCGTGAAAAAGACCGAAATGAAATACCTCTTCGTATTTACCTCGCAAAGTTCACCCTGGAGAATTTTCATTACACAATGCGCATTAGCATGATCGTGTATGGCTGATCCGTGACCTTCTGCCCAACATAAAACCATCAGATTGAATCGTCCATTTCCTTCGTCAACTAAGTTCCTTGTGTACCTGAACAAAATGATTCATTTATTTCTCTTTTTAAGAATTGTTTCCTTCGATTAAGTGGAATGAGTAATAGTGGATTGCGTTAGGTCACACTGATGGATAATTAATTAACATCCGTATTGCAAGGACAATGAATTATAATCTAACCACGACAATTTAGCACATACTATAATCTTAATTGAATTACACTTTTATTACAATTTATTCGAATAAATACAGATTTTTCGCAACGAGAATGTTTTGCGAATATTTTTAGTGAAATCCTAAACAGTGCGTGAAAAACGATATCGGATATTTTGGTAAATTCAAAATAAATACAATTTTGTTACATATATTAAATAATTGATTTAAATATAATATTTCGTGGTAGAAATATTCTTCCTTTCATTTAAGGAAAGGTTCCTTTATCATTCTATTTGGTAATGATTTGTAAAGTGTCTTTTTTAGCAAAGGTTTATGCCATTTCCGTGTAATGCACTTTTTAAATTGTTTTACATTTTCAAATTAAATCCTCTCTGGTAGCTACGTGGTTCTAGCAAGGTGTTCCCAACAGTTTTCTATAATGTCAAATGATTTAACTAGCCATTGCATTTATCTTTTTTATCCTGAAAATATTGCTTAATAAATTTTGCAATATGTGCAGCTGTATTATTCCGTTGAAATATACATTTGCTATAATTTTACGCTACCATTTTATCAGACTGATTTTGTAATTTGTTTATATTACCAGTAACTGAGGTCAATGCTCAACCGGATGTTAGATATGTTTAACCTACAACATCTATTTATACAATTTGTAGATTATGACGTCTGTTATCTTTTTATTGAGCACTATACTGTGATTAACATCATTGAACTGTAATTTTAATTTCTGGTACTGTTGAATTAATCAGTTACAATAATAGCTTCTGCTGTAAATCAATTTTACAATTTACTGTTTAATAGTTCAACTTACGACTTTATGTAAAAATTAAGTGAAAACGAAAAAGACATTATAGAACTTTTTTTAAAAGCTAAATGTGTTAATATCTGTTTTTTATGAAACATTATTAAAAATACATTTAAAAAATTTTTTTTCTACGGTGTTGTAGAATGTTAAAATCTATTAAATTTTGTATTTAACATTTGGCCAATATCTCTTATAGTTTCAGAGATATTAGTAACAATATAAATAACCAGAGTTATTTCGAAAGTTTCCACCCTTAAGGGGGAAAGTAGGTTTAGGACTACGTTTTTTTAGAGATTTGAATTTAATGAAATCTTAAGGACATTTTATACATATATTCAAATAAATATTGTAATTTTTTGGAAGTATTTCCTCGGAAAATTTGGAAGATATCAGTTTGCCTCTCAGTTTGCATCGGAGGTCACCATAAAACGTAGCTATTTTTTGTACATTCTGGAGACCACAATTTTCATCTGAAATCAATTGGGATTTAAATTTGCTTTAAAGACATGTCTTTCTTCTCTGAGAACCTACCGAATCAGTTTCTAGGTTGTATTCTTTGATGTTCTTGAACTCTTTTTTAGAATTATTCATTATAATTCACTTTTGCTAAACATTTTTCTTTTTTTACTTTTGTGGTTTTTTAACCCATTGTATGTATCGTTCAGTATACCCAGCAAACACCTCGACGAATTGTACTTTCAACACGCATCATCGTTTAAAATAAATCAGTGGTTTTCATCGCTAAGTTAAAGAACAATCTGAGTGGTTTCTTTCAAAGTTCCCTGCATAATATTCTTTCTAATTCTTTCTAATACGAACGTTATTCGCAACAAGGTCTGCTTCTCAGCTGTGTGAAAAATTTTCGTTCATTGCTTTCGATTCAAGTGTCGCGTGTCAAGGAACCGATGCTCTGGCTCAAGTGTAATGTAAGTGTTGAGAAGGGGGGCATACGTGGAAAGTGTGCGCAACCAGCCGTTCACCGAACAAACACCACTGATTTACGTGCAATACACATAGACTTTGAAGCGTTCCGCATACTTAGCCTCAGATTCCATCGATGTCGAACCATTTCGATCGTGTTCGTTCTTTCGAGGATGTATATTATATTCGGCACCGGAAAAAGTTCGTGCAGCTTTCTAGAACTCAATTCAAATACTCAGAATTTTTTAAAAATATTATATCATTTAACGAAACGTTCATCATTTATTTGATTAGCTCTTTTCCATCGTTCTACAAACTTGTGCATTCCTTTTTCTTATGGTTGAAAACCATTCTGGTCTCGTTTTTCACTTTTAAATGTAATCAAACGGAAGTGAGCGTGGATACATTTTGCGTTTGATTACACTATTCGCTGAGTTACAGGATTGTGTTAGGGTTGATTACATTGGTTGCTGAGCTATAAGATCAGTCTTGCGTTAATAATAAATTAGTTTTGCCTTTCCTGTATTCTAGTAAGTCGGTTTTCAACCACTGTCGTTCAATCTATGATTGAGAATCTGTAAGTTTTTTCATAAAACTCTTGAGCTTTATTGATTAAAAATGAATTAATTGCCGATTTGACTTCGACGTTATTTCTAAAGTTGCTGTTTACCAGAAAGTTAGACATCGATCACTCTTTCCGGTACCTGTTAGAACAAGAGAGGCGATAGAAAGGTGTCTAGTGGAAAATCAACAGGGAACGAATAAGACGTCGTTTTCTTACATCGATTCGGTTCGTAATTGTGGAAACAAGTACTGAAAGTAACACGGTAACAAACGTTCATTGTTTGGCAAATGTTAGGTATTTGGTAATTGTTAACTTTTCTGTTCCGAATGGTACACCCCACTTTGTGTAGATGTTGTGACCGCACGGACTGCAGTTTCCATACTTTCGCGTGCCGTGTGGAAATCGACCGTGTTGGTTATTACGTACCATAATACTACATTATATGGCCGAGGTGGTCGTTATCTTTGTGATTCATGAAACAATTTTCATACCAGATCAACCCGTTTCGTTTCGTGCGAACAAGATGGAAAGTTGATTAAAATTCTCGTGGTTATCTGTCCTTTGAACTTTAAAATGTAGCGCGTACGATGTTATTTCATTATTTCACTACACGTATATTTTGCTCGTATCAATCAATGAAGACGATCTATTAAGACGCGATCGAAACCCTCAATCACCTTTACACCCATAGTGCTCTTTTCGGAACACATCAATTTCAGATCATTTATAACGTTATTACAATTTCAACCGCTTGTTTTCCATTCAAGGGTTATTCTTTAAGGTTAATGCAGTCGCAACTATGCTCAATGCGATTTTTCAACCACAAAATAGTTGCAATTAATGTAGATGAAATTAAACTTTTCTTTTCTATTGTTTTTTGAATATTTTACTACAGACAATTTAGATGTAATACATTAATGTGGAAAAAGTGGTTCACTCCGTGAAACATCAACAGGATTCTTAATAGGAAGAGGGTATTATCCTTTTAGAAAGATGCCAGACTAATGTTTTTAACAGGAAAACAAAACAACAATATATTTAATCGTTTCATCTATACAGGGTGGTCCACGCAATTGTTTCAAGTCTTAACTCCGTTATTATTGCATTTACGAAAAAATGCCAAAGAAGAAAGGTGAATGGTTCGAAGAGCACTACGACTGTAGGCCTTTTAATTTTTTTTAGATGCAGCAGTGCATGTGCAATTAACAATTGCATTATTTCTTTAAATAGAAATGCATATGTCTTTTTACACAGATCGATTCTTCTGTTCATTCTACGTAAAAAATGATTAGCGTAC